AATAGATGCGTAAATCAAGAGACAAGTGTCGAGCAGAGGTTATGGAATCCCAGCATAAGCATACATCATAGTATTCTTTCCCATGAGAACAACAGAGTCACCTCTCAAACTCATGAGAACAATAGAGTCACCTCTCAAACCCTTCCTAATACATGAAGATGGGGTCATGACTATATACTAGAAACGGGTTATAAGGGAAAACCTTGTCTCAATTATATTTACTTTGTAAAAATCTGTTACAAGAAAAATAGTTACGAGAAAGTTATAGATGTACTTTAATACATGTAATACTCAAAAGCTTGTTCAAGTTCATGAATAAAAACTTGTCAAAGTTGTGGCATACAAAACATGTGTATTCCGATATCTTTCATCGTATTATAACACCATTATGAAGTTGAGACGTCTTCTTCATTAAGTGTCGATATATATAAAAGGGCCCTCTTTTATAAGCCTCATGTTAATAAGTCATGAGAAGAATCATAAAGCAATTTCAAAGGATAAAAATGCTAAACTATTCTACAAGTCCTAAATAGATAAGAAAAAGGCAAGAATAAAACATATTGAAGTACCAAGAAAACTTCTTAAAAAAGACTAAGTAAAACTTAGTCAAGCAAAATATTTTTACAAGTGCCCCATTATGATAACTGGGGACTTAACCAAAAAATCCCTTAAAAAGGTCAAGGGATAAAACCACCAATTAATAAAAAAACAACAAAGGAGTAAAATATTCAACTTGTCACTAAAGGGGTTGGAACTTCTGAAGTTGCAATGTTAACTTCACTTTCAGAAGCAACTGTAGGCATGGTAGCAATTTCTGAGGAAGTAGCGGCAGTTGGGCTTGAAGTGTTAAAGTCACCGAGGGAAGCAAGAGTCACGGGAGCTTCAGCTTCCACGGACTGTATCGGTGAAGTTTCACCCTCGGGAGCTGGAATTGTAACATTTTCAACTTCAACAGAAGCGGCTCCTTCATTTAAAAGTTCCTCAGCCACGGGAGTTTCATCTGCTGGAGAAGGAAAGTCAAGTGGTTGTTGAGTTATTTCAATGGTTCTCAATACCTTGGCCAATTCCGATTCTAAATCAATGTTTTCTTGACTGGCTTCAGTTAAGGCATCACGGCGGGAGTTTAGAAAGGCCCAGCTCACCTCTGTGTTAAAGTTCTCCTCAAGAAGCTCATAATCCCTTTCCCACGAGGCAAGATCATTTTTTAACATTTGATTTTCAGCCAAAGTGAAATCAAGGGTAGCTTCAAGGGAGGCACGAGAATTCTCTAAGGCACGAACCTTATCAGAGGAAATTTGCAAGTCAGCCCGAGCCTGAGACAAGTTTTGAACTAGCTCTCCTGCGTACTCCTCTTTCTTGCTCAACAATACCTTAAGTTCTCTAATCTCTTCGCTTGACTTTGATAATTGTTCTGAAAAAGAACATTCAAGGCGCTCTTTATCCTTCTCAGCTTTACTAGAAGAAGCCTTGGCCTCCGCTAATTCAGAAGTCAGAATTTGCTTTTGCTGTTCCAGGTCACGTTTATTCTCTTGCAATTCTTTTATCTTTTTCTGAGCATTTTTAAACTGCTCTTTCCAATTGGTTGCCTCAAGCTGGGCTTCTCTAGCTATCCTCTCAGCCTCAAGAAAAGTCTGATCAGACTCGCGAGCCTTCTTTTCTAAGAGGGAAATTCTTCCCATCAATTCCGTACCAATGAGGTTAGCCTACAAAAACAACTCATGAAAGTTAGAATTAAAAAGAAAGAATTTATTAAAGAGTAAAGGGAGAGTACCTTCAATGTACAGTGAACTATATCATTCATCAAAGTTAGACAATTGTGACTGTCCATCTTCTTTTTCTCAATATCCCCAATTAAAGGTTCAAGCCAAAAATCTACTCTGCCAGACTTCCTTAAAAGACTGCTATTAGCAGGAACCTCAAGTGTTACACTCCTCATAGCCATGCTTCTACTACTAGAACCCTCCTCTGCATAATGAGCAGAGGAAGGGGGAACTATAGAGGGAGGAACGGTAGAAGAGGTGAAAATAGTAGTAGTCGAAGGAGTCGAGGCAGGTAACGGAGCAGAAATTGACAAAGAGGTAGGAACAGACAAAGTGGGTAAGGAAACACTTGAAATTAGAGGAGGAGGAACAGAAAGAACAGGAACGGAAGATGAAAGAGGAATTTCATCTAAAACCGGACCTAATTCACCACTTTCGAAGCCCTCAATAAAGAGGCGATGAGTGGATTCAGGGGAGTCCCTTGGAATGGTTTCTTCATCGGAGGTAATAGTAACAGGTTCGGAGATACGAGCGGGAGAGATTCCAGTTTCATCCTCAGAAACAATGCGCCTCCTGGTTCTAGGACGAGCTGTCAAAGAGGTATCTTCATCTTCATCAACGTCAGAATCCTCTTCAACCACTTTTCTCTTTGACAGTGTGGCTTGTGTTCTTTCCAAAGCAAGAGGAGTACTGGAAGAAGCTCGAAGAGTGATAGCTACTTCAGCCGACATCCCTCGAATAGCAAATCCTGACAATAATAAGGATATAAAGTTAAAAGAGGGGAAAAGAATTTAACACACGAGAAGCAAAAAGGGATGTATACCGTGAGTTTTCACTTTCCAACCATGTTTGTTGGAAATAGATTTCCAAGTTCGTGCCTCCATAGGCACGGCTTTCAAGACAGCATCTACCCAACCACGAAAATTAGGAACGGGTTTCACATCTCCCATGGTTGCTACAAAAAAGCAAAGGAATAATAATAAAATTAGAAGAGAAGTTGAAATAACGAAAGCAGATACGGCAAGGAAGAAAATACTTACGTGCAAAGTTCCATTTCTCAGGAAAAGGAATATTTTCCCCCACCAAATCAATTGTAGGAACAACAACAAACCGGGTGTACCAGCCACGGTCGTTATTATCTTCAGGGTTAACCAAAACCCTCTTACTTCTTGCAGTTAAGGTAAAAACACCATTGCGGAATAGCTTGGGGTGATAAAGATGAATTAGATGAGGGAAAGTAAAGTCGACATCAGCTTTGGTTGACATATACCTCAAACAAGCTACTGCTCTCCATACGAGAGGACCAACTTGAGCCAAACAAATTTTGAAAAAATGACAGAAATCAAGTATGACTGGATCAATAACAGGAATAAATCCCAAAGTAAAGGGATAAGTGTAAACGAAAGAAAAGCCAACCCTATAAGAAGATATTCTTTGATGTGGAGTAGGAATAACTATTTGGGTGTCACCTCTCCAACGACAATCTCTTCGAATAATTTGAATCAAAGGTTCAGTAATTAAAGAGGGATATTTATCAGCTCTCTCTAATTTAATCACTTGGTCACGAAGGGATTCTTTATCATGTTCGAAAGATAAATCTGTTGGCACAATTTCTTCAACCAGAGGCTCTTGGTTAGACTTAGAAGATTCTTTGCCCTTAGAAGTGGATCTGTTAGAAAGAGAGCCTCTAGAGATATTGCCAGAACTAGAAGAAGGAATGATAGAACCAGAGGTACCACCACGAACCGACCCTGTACCACGAAGCACACCTCCTCTACCTCTTCTATATCTAGCAGGAGCATTGGGAAAACTATCAAGAATTGGAACTCTTTTAGGGTTAGGATTCGAAGACGATAGTGAGAAGATATGAACAGAAGATATGAACTGAAGAAGAAGTGAACGAGAGTAAATAGCAAGAAATTTGGTAAAAAGCTTGTGAAGAAGAAGACAAAGGAAAAAGGAGGCAAGTTTATATATAAACTCAACCGTCGATAATTAAGAAGTGTAATGATGAAAAGCCTATAATAAAGGTAACTACCACTTTGTGAATAGTGGAGTTAAAAAAGCCTTAGAAAAAGGCTGCAAAATCGCAGAACTAATGAAAAGGTGACACGTATATGGTGCATTAAATAGAAGAGACAATTGAAGCGTCGACACTGTCATAGCATTGATTATGGCAAAAATTCCCTTTTTAGTGAAGATCCACTTCCCAAATATTTAATTGATAAATAAATGGAAAGTGAGGGGACTATCTGTATTGGAAAAAAAACTGAATTTATAATTGAAGATGACGTGGCATGACACGTAGACTGGTCAAATGGTCAAAACATGATGAGCAATTAAGAGGCACGGGAGATATCAGATACGAGGAGAAGAAAGTTAAATAGGCACGAGATGCTATTCAAATGATACGAGTCTCGTATCTATTTAACTAA